GGACGAATATGCCTGTCAAATATACCAAAATTTAAGTTAGATATCGCTGGATGCAATTAAACTCGATTTATGGTTCTACCGCTTATTGTTTCTGAGTTACAAGTAATCAAACAGTTGTACTTTTTTTTGCGCCACCCGGTATATATATATATATATATATATATATATATATATATATATATATATATATATATATATATATATATATATATATATATATATATATATATTATATATATATATATATATATATATATATATATATATTATATATATTATATATATATATATTATATATATACCGGGTGGCGCAAAAAAAAGTACAACTGTTTGATTACTTGTAACTCAGAAACAATAAGCAGTAGAACCATAAATCGAGTTTAATTGCATCCAGCGATATCTAACTTAAATTTTGGTATATTTGACAGGCATATTCGTCCAAGATTAACTGAGATATAAGAGTTTAAACTTTTGTTAACAATTTTGAAACGGTCACAAATTAGCTAAAAATCAGTTTAATAGGCCGTTTTTAGCTAATTTGTGACCGTTTCAAATTTGCTAACAAAAGTTTAAACACTCATATCTCAGTCAATCTTGGACGAAAATGCCTGTCGAATATACCAAAATTTAAGTTAGACATCGCTGGATGCAATGAAACTCGATTTTGGGTTCTACTGCTTATGGTCTTTGAGCTATATGTAATCAAACAGTTATACTTTTTTTTGCGCCACCCGGTATTGTTGTAAATAGGACTATCTCTGCAGCAAAAACCAACTACTACAAAGACATGATAAACGACTGTGGCTCGGACCAAGGAGAACTTTTCAAGAAAATAGATAGGATGTTTAAAATGCCAGTAGAAGGGAAATACCCATCATGTGCTTCATCTGAACAGCTTGCAAATAACTTTGCAGATTTTTTCGACAACAAGATAGATTCCATCAAAAAGGATTTGTCCACAAAATCTGCAAATCTATTATGTTCTCATATCATGGACACAACTTTATTATCAAAAGACACCAAACTTGAATCATTTGCGCCTACAACGACGGAGGATTTGCTTGTGCTCACACAAAAACTGGTTAAAAAATCATGCATACTTGACCCAATCCCAGCGAAGGTACTAATGGAATGTTATACTGATTTATTACCGGTTATCACTAAAATAACTAATATTTCACTGGAAACAGCCACTGTGCCAAACAATTTAAAATGTGCTGCTCTTGATCCAAGACTTAAGAAAGATAGTCTAAGCACTGACGAATTTTCAAGTTTCCGGCCTATTTCAAACCTTAAATTTGTATCAAAATGCATAGAGAAAGTGGTAGCAACTCAGTTGGATCAACATATCACAAGTAATAATTTGGACGAACCCATGCAATCTGCGTTCAAGAAACACCATAGTACCGAGACGGCATTAATAAAGGTTCAAAATGACATTCTACAAGCCATTGATAATCAAAATTCAGTGATTTTATTGCTGCTTGACATTTCTGCCGCCTTCGATACGATTGATCACGAAATATTATTGTCCAGGCTATCTTCTAGATATGGAATCACTGGAAAGGCTCATAAGTGGTTTGAATCATATCTTAATGAAAGAACATTTACGGTGCATGTCTCGGGTGGTCAATCCACTAAACGCACTCTACGATCTGGTGTTCCACAGGGTAGTATTTTGGGGCCAATGCTTTTTTCACTGTATATAGCACCAATTGGAGACCTTATGAGATCATTGGGCATCGACTTCCATCTTTATGCCGATGACACGCAATTATATGTTACTTTCAAATCAAGTAATCCAGACGATCTGATAGTTGCAAAAACGAAGATCGAAGAGTGTGTCCGTGAATTAGATGAATGGTTGACCATGAATAAGCTAAAGTTAAACAGTGACAAGACGGAGATACTGGTGTTTTCTGCTCGCCATCGTCCAAGTCCATCTTTGTCTTATATAAATGTTTGTGATGATGTCATTGGCCTCTCTACCAAGGCGAGAAATATTGGGATTATAATGGACTCAAATGTTACTATGGAATCACAAGTATCAACCATTTGCAAATCTGGATTTTATTATTTAAGGAAAATCAGTAAAGTACGAAAATATCTCAGCCTTAAATCTGCAGAGATTTTAGTACATGCTCTGGTTACATCCCGACTTGATTTTGGAAATGCATTGTTACACGGACTATCGAACACTGCTCTTGAGCGAATCCAGAAAGTTCAGAATGCAGCAGCACGAATTGTCACATTAACGAGGAAAAGAGATCACATAACACCAGTGCTATTCAATCTACATTGGCTGCCAATCAAGGAAAGGATTCAATATAAGATACTATTGATCACTTTTAAGGCTTTATCTGGACAAGCACCAGGATACATTTCTGACCTGTTGGAAGTTTATGTGCCTAGGCGAAATTTAAGATCATCATCAGATAGGAAATTAGTAGTTCCAAATTATAACTTGGAAACCTATGGTAGACGTTCCTTTAGGGTATCTGCACCAATATTGTGGAATAATCTGCCTCAGAATGTAAGACTATGTGAATCTATAGGATCTTTTAAATCACAATTGAAAACACATTTGTTCCGAATTGTATATAAGGATTTTATTTAGAGTAATTTTAACTATTTTCAGATCGATTTTTATAGTCTATTTTACAAAACTTTAAATTAAGCAATTGTTGTATAAATATTGTAAGTTATAAGTTGTAAAGCGCATCTGGACATTTATGGAAGATGCGCTATATAAAAAACTAATTATTATTATTATTATTATTATAAATAAATTCTTGAAAAAAAATGGTATCGAACATATGCTAAGACCAGATTGTTCAGCGTGATGAACGGATTGAAAAGCTTTGCAATAATAAATATACGTTTTTTTTCCACAAACCAAAACTTATATTGTTTTATCGCCATGCAAAACTACAAAGAACTTAGATGTACTTTTCTCATATTTCGCTGAATTTTCTTACTCCCAAGTATCGACATCTCTGAAAGTAATAATACCATCTTTGAAGGTGACCACAATCTGTGGCTCTGTAAACTTACTAAAACCTCGTATTCTGTTTAGGTATCCTTCTTAGCTTGACTAAGTTTACTTAAAATACTCCTTCGCACTTGCAAACGTTCCTGTTCTTTTTTTCGCCACTTCTCAACCATTTCTTCATACAATCTCTCTTCTCTTTTGAATTCCTCCATGTTCTTGGACGTGAGCCACATATCATACACCAAGCAAGCATCTTCAGGAAATTTCGTTTTAGAATTCAGCAACCATGCCTCATTCGGAACATTTTTTGATTGTATAAGCTCGATAATACTTTGGGCACGTTTCTCCTCAAACCATTCGTCAAACGTTTTCACCCTTGGATTAAGTCTCCGCTGTTCTTCAACTAATGCTTTCTTCTGTAACTCTAACATTGCGAAATTATCTTGTAAAATAGCTTCATTCTGCTTTTCCTTGTTCTTATCCTTAAGCCATTCTCGATACGTCTTTCCAGAATGGGATCTATTCCTTTTGCTGTCCGTTTTAACATTTTCACAAGTTTGGTTTGGCTGTCTCTTTTCAGCTAGCCACTCAGAAAACGTTTTCCCACCTAACAGCGCTTGCTTAGGCCTTGAGTCAGCTTTTTCAGTGATCTGGCCTGGGGATTCCATAGAGGACTCTGCAAAATTGAAGAAAACGTTTGGGCTCCAAATATTTAATCGTATCGGTGGGTTTCGTTATCGTGTATTTATTTATTTATTTATTTAGCTTTGCCAACTAGGGCAGGGTCACCACAACAGCATATGCCAATTACTGTGGGCCCTTTTTACCTAACCCACCCTGTCAACTTTCCCTGTGGGAGGAAACCGGAGTACCCGGGGAAAACCCACGGCTTTCGGCAGAGCGTTGACTTTTACTCTTTTCACATGGGGACTGGGTTCGAGTCGCATTGAGAAGGTACTTAGTGAGACTCGAACCTGCAGTCTCAGAGGTGGGAGGTAAGTGCGCTAACCACTTGGCCACCGAAGCCCCGTATCTGTGTAGCAGATGTTGTTAAATTTTTTTATTACATGTTACGGTATCCGGTTCTAACATAGCAAAACATGCTTGGACTCGGGACCACAAAATCAACTTTGATGAGTGCAAAATCCTAGACAAGGTAACCTATCGACACAGAGCAACACTGGAGTCCTGGCATACAATGCGCAACATTTACCAGAACAATATAGATTTTTATTAAAAAGAATAAACCATAGTTATAAAAGAACACTCGTTATACTAGAGTTTACGTAGGCGGAACTACTCATTGTTATTGCATCTCATTGTAATTGTAAACCACTGTCCTAGTAGCTAAATCCGTAGAATAGTTTTATATTTAGTACCACTTTACCTGTCGAAGACAGCAGCTGGCAGTCGAAAGCTTGTGTTATATTACATGTGTTATAGTCTATTTGGTGGGAAATGAATAGAATTGAAACTGAAAGCTGCTTTACTCTGTCAAAGTTTTTGCGATCACAGTAGGAATTTTGTAACTAAGTTCTATGTTTTGAAGGATTTGTAAGAAACGTTCGAGGGAATTGACTTAGTGTTAAACAGTCCGAGTCAGTTTCCTCAAACATTTCTTACAAATCCCTCAAAACTTAGAATTTACATATGCGAAATTCCTACTGTGATCATAGAAACTTTGATAGTGTCTGACCAGCCTCGAGAGATGTAGTCTAATTCGGTTGCTCCTGCAACTGTCAACAGTTCTGACGTTGACTAACCGAAAATATTTATTTTAACTTTGTAAATATTGAATCTTATAAATAGGTAATTAAATTTTTAAAACCTGCAGTTGAAATTCAATTAAAAAGACTTACCATTCAATTGTTGCCTTTTCTGTCTTAACCATTCTTCAAAAGGCACTCCAGAGCCAGCTCTATGGTGTTCAATAGTCAATGTCTCAGATTTACTGCGTTTCCGGAACTTCTTTTTGCCTTCTAGCCATTGTTTAAAAGCGGCAACGTCCATCTCTCGTCCGACTTTGCTTTTCAAGGTGGCACTAGCAGGGCGTTCAGTCTTAACTTCGGTTGCCGACTGGCGCTTCTTTTCCAGCCATGCATCGTAACTTAGAGACGGTCCCAATTTGCGATGTAGGGATGGGGTCTTCTCCAGAACACTGTCATAGGATGGTGGAGTCCAGAGTCGGTCAGATGGTTGCTGATTTGGCTCAGGATAGCCATTGGAAGATAGCGTCCATAATCTCTCATCTTCCTGGTCTCGCTTTGCTATAGGACCGCCATTGGTAGTCGCTGTCAATAATTTGTCGTCTTGCTGTTCGGATCCTGAACAGCCATTGGTCTTCTTTTCCTGATTTAAGTTTCTGTTTTCTTCAGCTTTTAAAACGAATCCGAGCATTTTCTTGCTTGGAGGAAGTGGTGCTCTATAAACAGATTATAGAATAAAGTAAAATGATTTAAAACAATAAATATGATCCATATAGTCATAGCCATAATAATCATATAGTCATAAGTTATAGTCATGTAGTCATAGTCATGTAGTCAAATAGTCATAGTCATGTAGTCATAGTCATGTAGTCATATAGTCATATAGTCATAGTCTTGTAGTCATATAGTCATAGTCATGTTGTCATATAGTCATAGCCATATAGTCATATAGTCATATAGTCATATAGTCATATAGTCATATAGTCACATAGTGATATAGTCATGTAGTCATCAATTACAGTCCCTTTTAAGTGCTTCTATTTTGGATAGGACACGCTTGTTGTGTCTGGAAATGCCACTTTTTACGTTATACAGGAATTCAGAGTTACAGATGTGCGGTTAGCGTTTTCATCTTAACAAATGAAATATGTTCATACCTTGCCTCGCCCAGGAAATTATAGTTGTTAGTGATAGAATCTAGTTCTGGCTGTTTCGTTTCGAAATTTGTTGGCATAATATCCTCTCTTGGTAATGAAAGCTTCAGTGTGGTCACATTAATATCAGCTATACTTTCTAAATAAAAAAAAGTTTTCAGACAACTGAATATTGGAGGAATCGAAGGCGCAAAGCCACTGTTGTTACTGTAAGTCTTACCATCAATATTATGATATTCTCCAACAATGTCATCTTGAGCAGTTCTAAGAATTGCATCAATTCCACGAATTCCACGCGAAGTACTAGATCGAGAAGAAGAGCCTTCTCGTCGGATTGGTGCGGTTTGCGCACGCACGATAGGCGCCGAGAACTGGGACGGAATTTCACCCACTGGATGATGTGTTTTTGGCGATTCAATCGTCATTACAGGTAACTCATAGGATGATGAAGGACTCGAGTGGTTCTGAGACTGGATTGAAGTATCTTTAGTGGTGGTGGTTATACTTGGAAAACTCTATGGGAATAGAATAGGATAGAATAGGAGGATATCTAATCTTTTTATTTTGACACAATAAAGGGGTCAAACCACTGATGAAAGCATGTTGTGAATGTACTAAACTTAAAAACCTTGTAGCAAGTTGTGAACAAGCCGTTGACAACTTGTCAACAAGATGGAAACAAGCAGTGCGAACATATCCTGTTAACAAGTTGTTGCAACAGCAATTTGCTACAAGTCTGCTGCAGGTTTGTTACAATTTGTGTGTTTTTACGTGTGTACATTATTCAACATAAGACCACCAACCTCGGCAGACGTTTCCCCACGAGTAGCTCCCGTTGCAACTTGCGACGACATATTCTTCTTCGTTCTTTGATTTCGATGAAAATTCTTCATCATTTCATGCGGTGCTGTTTTGGGCCGACCATCACCTGCCTTTTCACGAGATTCGTCGCCCCCACTTCTAGAAGTCTGATGCATGTACAATCGTTTTTGACAATAAATATGCCTGTTAATATAAGCCAACTGTAAGGGAGTTTTACCAAACACATCCAGCGCACTGGACTCTGCACCTTCGGAAAGTAGGAGCGAAACACAGCCAACGAAACCTTGAAAAGCTGCAATATGCAAGGCTGTCCGGCCAAACACCGTACAGCCATTAATATCAGCTGCGCTGGAGTTTAGCAGCTCTAGCATGAGCGACAAATATCCATGATAAGTTGCCATGAACAGGGCAAAAGTCGCCCGTTTGATAACAAGCTTGTTCCAAAGTTCCACATCGAAATCACTTGAGGGTTCATCGTTTAATGCTTGCACTCCGTTTTCAAAGACTTCAAAAGTATCTCCCTTCGAACAAGCCAGGAATAGCCCCAACCAAGTTTTGTGTAGCCGTACTCTTAAAATACAGCCGTGTTTTAGTTTATAGTCCTGTAACGTTTTATCGTCCGCCAGTTCGTTGTTCATAAAGTACAAATGTATCAAATGACCTGGTATCCCGACTCGGAGTTCAATTTTTGATTTAATTTGGTGCACGAGTAATTTTGTACTTATATCGCGTAGGCTATAAACGTCGTTTGCCGGCAAGCTGATAAACAGATGAATAAACTCAGTTTTTGTTGAATTTTCCACCTTTTTCTTCATAATATCACCCGTTCAAAACGTCAAATCTTACATAGCAACAAGAGTTCTCTATCCACAATAAATAATAAATCCTTGCAGCAGACACATTTAATGAAATGGTTAAGCTTATCATTATAGCTGTCCCTGACAACAAGTCATTAGCTTGAATATTTCAATAACAAAACGAAATTTATTGCCCTATTTTATGTAATTAGCTAAGTCCTATGTAAACACATTATTCAAATCGAGACTCGCAAAAGTTATTAATTTGCTGCAACGACTTGTGAATAATACATACTTTTAATTTAGAACGAATATTGTATTGACTACGATACATAGCATGTTGTCATAACTAATCAGTTTGGCCCGAAAATATGGCAGTTTTATATTTAGTTTAGAAATCTTTATCCCCGAGTCAACAGCTCTTAAGCGTCGTTCGGCCCGTTCCAGGCCTAAGCCAGGGACAAGGGGGCACTAATCCCGACCGGCTATATCTCCACCCGAGTGCGCGTATGCAAGCCGAGGGTCTGGTATCTATCATGATTGGGGTACATGAAGATTTTGTTTTTCATAGTTTTCAGCCGTGTTCACTGCGAAAAAAATGTACGAGGTCTTAATGCGGGATTCGGAATTGTAGTTGTAAACTATAACTTTTATTAAAACCGTCCGTTAGCTGTCTGTAGAAGGTAATTCATTTCACTAGTGTCAGTTCGAAATTGCTGTTTTAACATTTGTCAACTACCAGTTAACATATACTGTTTGATGTCAATGAAACATATAGTAGTAAATTATATACTATAATTAGCATGTAATTGAGAGGCTGAAAGGGTCCCTATAAAAGAACCCTAAACTTGAGCCCTTCGGGGTCCAGTTTGAAAGGTAGTGCTGCTCCATTTTGGGCCCATGAAATTATGATCCTTGTCATGTTGGAAGCCTGCCTAGACCACAAGGATGGATTTACTGGAGGGAGCGGGGGTGCGCACCCCCCCCCCCTTAGCCTTGAAAAATGGTGTGCAAGGGGTGAAAAGCGTACATGTGTAAACTATGCATGCATGTACTCGATAAAAAGTATGAATTATACGACATGCTCGTCTTATCTTATAAAAAAGAAGATTTATTATGGGTTTACAAGTTTTATAAACAAGTATACCCATTGCTTGATATCAGTCATATCATCAATGAAGTGCGTCATTAACGCAATTAAAATTTGTATTCAGTATTCGAACAGTATAAAAATTGCGCTATCTTTAATTAAAACTTGAATACAAGTGTAGTGTAGGGAAGATTTTATCGAAACGCAGATTTCAGAGGCACGAAATCAGCTGAATAAAATGAAAATGAAAAAATTATTTTGATCTTCCATTATTTTGGTTCCAGTGTTTTATATACAGATTTATTATGTAGTAGAGAATGAGATACTGAAAAATACACAGTGAGATATTTTCCATAAGTGAAGATATCGATCACGTGACTTTTACTCTTTTAGTATTTATACAATTTTTTGCTTAGGACTATATAATATTAAAACAGAACATTACACGGCGGCGCGAAGATATGACTTTTATCTTCTCGTGTTAAAAACAATATTTTACTCACTCGTTGCGCTCGTTCGTAAAATATTGTTTTCACCACTCGAAGATAAAAGTCATATCTTCGCGCCGCCGTGTAATATCCTCTATATATATATTTTCCGCTACAAATGTTTCCACGCGGATCAATTTAATATTGGAACTTAAATTATATACCAATATATATTATCTGGTGAATTGCTTATTTTGTTATTTGAATCCAACAGGCGATTTTAGTCGCCAAGAGGAAAGTGTTGGGCGTTTACGATTTAGTTTAGGCGTTAATGAACAATACCGTATACTTGAACTTGGCTGCCACCATGCAGTTACTCAATTTTTGAAGTTATTTTCCATAGATCATTTCGTATTAAAAACTTATAACACCTATATTTAACTATTTTTACACGTCGTTCATAAAGACTTAACTGAACTATCATTATTAAATGTATTATTTATAGTGCAAAATAAAGAGCCTTTTCATGCAAACCAGCGTCATTGACATAATTCCCTTGGACTTGTCTGTATCCTACGTATATGCCTAACAAAGAAATGCATTAGTACAAACCATTTGCGTTAATCGAATAGCGTGAACAGAAGGAACCATCTTAATATGCTATCAAAATAATAACTAGGCCAATGATATAGGATTTACAACGATTCAGAATATCATTCGGATTGGCAATTTTAATTGAGTTTCCTCATTAGAAATGGAAATTATAGAAACAAATTGTCAAACTCACAAACATGCACAAATCATGCAATTATATTCACTTTCGCGTAGGCAGAAGAAAGGCTTAAAATTTAAATTAATGCAGTTGACAAGCAACTTCTCAGTAGAAAGAAAAGTTTTGAAATCAACAGCTAAGCTTAAGGTAAGCGATTTTTTGTGGTGTTCTGAGTGAAAAATTCGGTAACATTAAAAATTATCATATATAATACCCCAATTTTTCCCTTCCTTATAAAAAAAACACGAAATTACGAAGGCAAACCGAAAGCAATTACTTACTTACCATTCATATTTGTAAAAAATTATTTGACTGCTTGGTCAAACGCAGCGGTATCACTACCTGCCCCGTAGTGAATTCCATAATTAGATAATTATATTGGGGCTTATTTGTTTTTGCCTTGTAAGTTGTATTACGTCCGTAATTTACATATAGTGAATAAATATATAACTGAGAAGCTGTCAGATGAACCTATATAAGCTGGCGAGAGTAATGTATTGACATGCTGGCCGTTACACCTGTCACTGTATTTGAGAGACAGTGTATGCGGTTTCGTATAAATTTGCGGAGCTGCGAAATTCGATAACACTGTCACTGTAACAATTGAGGCATATAGATTACGTGGAACAATCCTAGATATCTCATCAAGCACAGAGAGCCTAAATTTCAACTTGGGAAAATAAAGGTAAGAGTCTGGATTAAAATTCTGGATCTTAAAACAAAAATATATCATATGTGTTCAACTGTGCGTATAGACTATATATATAGTACGACATGCATGCGTACGTTATTAGAATTAGGTTTGCTTGCATTGCTCATGAGTCATGTAACAATGTTACGCATCTATAGACAGTATTGTTTCGCTCTGCCTGGCTCAGTATATGTATGCCCCCATGCTCTTGTCCTATGCATATAGAGCATATACAATCTTCTGTATATGATTGAGATAACTTGAGGAACCAAGTAATAAAATTGGGTAAAAGTCATGTTTATACTTAATATGAGCGACAATTGTACTCAGATAGGGCAATGTGCCTATAGCATCGATTTCTTACATATTGCTCATTACTTAGTCATTACGTTGTGTCGAAATCTAAATTAAAATAATATAAGCCAAACTTTGCCAAATAGAGTTTGCTTATTATATGACCAAGTACATAAAGAATGTGCTCCCTTAATTCGGCCTACAGGCTCTGTTGCAAGCTCGTATTTCATAGTTTTGAGAGAACGTGCAATGTCAATGAACAGTATCAGTAATAAGTATGATAAATATTCATTTTGTTCATTTTACACCAATTTGGTGGCTAACATTTAAAACAAACATTGGAAATATAGGGTTCCAAACAATTCATAAAACATGTCTGGTTCTTGTATTGCTTCACGCATTGGACATGGTCTGAGCGGTTTTTCCAACTTCTTTCTTGATTCGCTTCTTGGCTGAGGTAAGGACCTCCCAATTAGGCCGTGACGAAGTGTACATGGTTTCTGCTGAGAGGTTTTTCTCGCAAGGCCGCGAGACAAAGATCAATCGTGTTTGATATCTTGCCAAGCTTAGTAAGTTACAGCTTCCTGTAGCGGTTAGCTCAGCCATGTCCATGAGCTCTCGTGTGAGGCAAGCTTAGTTAAGGGGGCTAACTCTACTTTGCTGGACTGGATGGATGGCAAGGCGATTTTGGCTCTGCACATGCAGTCGAACCCTGGTAACTCGAATTCCCAAGGGAAGCGAAATTTTTCGATGTAGCGGGGGTTCGAGTAAGCGGGGTCGATGTTGGATTTCGTTTGTCATGTTAATAATTAATAAGGTGTAGACTGTAGTCGTTTTATTATTTACCACAATTGTGAGCAATTACGATGCACTCTATGAAGAACTTACAAAATTTGTATGACTGTTACCTAAGTGAAACAGTCCCCATGCACCGCAGTGTTTTATAACGGTAGTACAGTACAGTACCTATACTGACTTGTCAATGACAATGTGCTATGTTCTGACAATTTGAGGTTTGCAGGGACCTGCAGGTCTGCCAGGAACCTGTAGTTGCATTTTTCACAACTGTTGCTGATTAGGTCTAAAGGCCCATTTGCACTCAAGAAAAATTTCCACGGAAAGAAAATTTTCCGAAAATATTATTGTTAAAAGTTGAAAATTTTCAACTTCAAAATTTTTTTCCCACGAAAAATTTTCCGACGGCCAATCACAGTTTACAAAATTTTCTTTCTGCGGAAAATTTTCCTTAGTGGAAATGGGTCTTAAGGTAATTCCGCAGTAATTGTTCCCGAAATGAGAATGTGCTGAAACTTCCCAGGCATGGAGTTTATGATATACTTGAAGTAAAATCACAAAAAAAAGTCGGGGTCACCGAACTCATTAAGAAGATATGACAATCATAATATACTACCTTTACCCCAATATGGCGCCATCTTGAGTCCTTGACGCTCATTACGAGTAACAGCGAATTCACAACAGCCCGATATTTATTGACGTTTTTAGCGCGGATTTTGCTTTAGTAAACTTATCTTGTAATTATTTTTGAAAAAATATTGTGTTTTCAGCAAAATGAAACTACTAACGTGTACTATTCTGATCCACAAATGTCTTTTCCACATTTCTTTACATATCTTTCTTCGAGAATATGCATTGATAAAGGATTTTTTTTCAAGATCCAGAAATGATTTTTCTTTTAATTTCGGATATGAAATGTAAAATGCATTAAAGAAATAAATT